GTCCAACAGGGCATCACTGGGAGGAGGTCTATTTGAAGGAGTGGATGCTTTATGGGGTAGTAGAAATGGATGAGTGTTAAAACATCTTCTCATTTTGCACACTTTGTGTCGTAGAGTTGATAAATAAATGGATAAAATTGCCATTTGCCACGGTCAATAATCCATAATGGCAAAGTGAAAACATGTTTGTTTTTTTTTAAAAACTAACATCTCTTAATATAAAACTATTCAGGTCCTTTGCTGCAGCGATCCAAATTGTGGTCAGGTGCATGCTGTTTGCTTTAATTTTCCTTGAAATGTGTTTAGAACTTGATTGGTGTCCACCTGTGGCAAACAGAATTGATTAGACATAGTTTAGAAAGACACTCACTTGTGTATACAAGGTCCCCTCAATTCACAATGCATGTCAGGCTTAAAAACCAAACCATGAAGTCTGAGGAACTCTCTGTAGACCTCCAAGGTAAAGGTGTGATGAAGCAGCAGAGCAGGGGTATAGAACCATTTCTAAAGCTATGGGTGTTTACAGGAGCACAGTGGCCAGAGTCGACCATCTGACCAAACTGTGTAAAGGGATAAAACAATGGCCTTGTTAAGGGAGGTGACCAAACTTGAATAACAAATCAGATGTACAGTATTTTTCAGTAGCTATTTCACTCTAAAAGCCCAGGTGAATGCTTTTAATGTGAAGCTGCATCAGTGCATGTCCAGTTTGTATTAGCAGTACTGTAGTACAGCTGTGTTAGGAAAGCTTTAGGAAGCGTTGGGGAAGTAAACAGTAAGGACTACTAACAATCAAAACTACTGTATAGAGAGGTAATGACTGAATATAAAGACACTATTCCAAAAGAAAAAAAAAAAACACATGCCAAGTACAGTACGTATCAAAAACAAAATTTGGCTTTATGGAAATCTGAAGGAATGCAACAGCAACATTTTTATCTACTGGTCACAAACATATGAGCAAATTTCAAATTGTAAATATTGTAGTTTGGTTCTTACTGATGTCAGAGTAATTCACCCTGTTTATTTCTTTTGTTGTGTTTGTTGTGTCTTGTTGCTTTTCTTCTTTTGTCTCTCCTCTATCCACTCACCCCAACCAGTCGAGGCACAAGGCCGCCCACCAAGAGCCGGGATCTGTCGGAGGTTTCTTCCGTTAAAGGGAGTTTTTCCTCCCTGCTGTTGCCAAGTGCTTGCTCAAGGGGGATTGGTTGGGTTTACCTCTATAATAATAATAGTAAGGTCTAGACCTTACTTTGTAAAGTGCCTTGAGATGACATTTGTTGTGATTTGGTGCTACACAAATAAAATTGAGCTGAATTGAATAATTAATAGCTGACACACTGATGCAATGAAGAAAGAGTTACACCCCTTGTAAGCATTAATTAATCCAAAATAATAAAACTGGAGCACTGGCAGAAATATGCTAATACACTTTTTCACAGTTTTAATTTGTTTTCATTCTGTCATCTCAGTTATACTTTGCATTTCGCATCTACAGTAGATGACCTTAAAGTTTGGTTATGAGTGTTTTTCATGTGACTCTAACATGAACAGACAGTGTCAGAGACAAGACACTGTGCACAGTTCATAACAGTATTTAGTGCAAGAAATAAAAAGAAAAACAAAGCTACTTTTACTAAATTTGTTACTCAGATGTGACAGATGTCCCTTTGTTTACCTTGTTGCATTCAATGTATTTTCTACTTGCACAGTTTTATATTTATCTTGTATTTGGTCTGTAACAAGTAAGTCAGGTATGATAGCTTGATATGAAATAAATAATGGTACCAATATGACTTTTCTTCAAACCTTTTCTTGATCAAGATCTAAAATAGGAGCAGACATGTTAAAGCCACTGGTGTATTCGCTCTTGGTGCCATTTACAGTAAATATTAATAATTTAGGTACTTATTTTTGGCTTCATCCATATCATCCTGTAGGTCACAGACATTCCCACACAGACAAATGTAATGCACCCGCCCTCCCACACAAGTTCCTTGAATACCATAAAGCAATAATCACATATGTTCTTGTTTTCCTCCTATGCTGCTCCAGTGCCATTCATTTCCTCTTAATGTCCTTTGATAGGTCATTAAACAAGTCTTGGAGCTGTGATGTAAACTATTGAATCATGTTACAGGTTCCATCTGTTGACGTGCTTAATCTGGAGCAGAAAGGCCCAAATACATATAGCTGCCATATAAAGTTTTATATAAAAACTGGCAGTGACAAAGCCATGAGGAGGATTTAGTAAAATGAATTAATATCTACGAGAGACAGTAGCAGAGAGGGATACACTGAGAGAGTCGGGCAGAGCAAAAAATATAGAAACCGTGGTGCATCTACTGTAAACCTGAAAGTTTTTTGCAGTTCTCTTGGCTCGAATATTTGCTCCAGGTTTCAGAAATAGCAGTACCTTTTACAAAGCTAAGTCAGGGCACAAAAGTGGAAGCTGAATCAGCATGCACTAGTTTGAAAGGTGAGGCCTGTTGCACCAGATGAACATTGGTGTCTTTGCAATGCTGAGTAACTGCAAAGTTTCGAAAAGGAAGACTTCTGCAAATCTGCCAGAGAGCAGTCAATTAATATATGATTGGAAAATGTTGCTCAGCAATTTATGTGATTAGAGAGTAAAAAAAAAAAAAACGCAATGTAGACATTCTCCTGTCAGTTGTGGAAATGTGTATTATCAATTTATGTTAATTCACGCTTTCCAATATTATTAGTTTACTTATTACTACTTTTTTGGCAGTAATAAATGTGTAAAATTACCTCTCCTTTAGAAAGTTGCCAAGACATTACTTTTTTAAAAGTACGTGATTACATAACAATCCACTGGCAGAATAGTATGAAACTTTAAATGGTAATATAAATTGCTGAACAGAGCATTAAAAAGTGCTGCCGTCAAGCCATGCTAAGGCAAACTGACACCTCCGTGACCATGTGTCAGAGAATTTAAACTAAGTAACCCATCAGTATGAGGGGACCCGCCTATTCATGGCTGATCCATTATGAGGAGCCCTTGAGGGCTGCAAAGAAAAGGACTTGGAGAAAAGTTTTGAATGAAGCTATTTAAAGCAATGTGCTATAGCTTTTATTCACATTGCTTACTTTTATTTATTGAATTTATAGAGTGATAATAGTGCTGCTGAGTCTACCTTAATGTCTTTAACAAACCTTTACAATCAACTTATTATGCATGTTACAGTCTACACATTATGTGGCTGGACTAACTCCTTCATTGCCTGTCTTTATTAGTCTCTTGTGTTTCTTGGCATGTTTTGATTTCATGAGTTTATTTGCACATTTTGAAAGTTGCTTAGTAATGACTAACTGAGTCAGGGACTTAACTTCATTACACTTAATAACTTCAGATATGAGTGTGTGTATTCTGTAATTGTTTCCCCCTAAATAGCTACTTTTCATGAGAAAATTCTGTATGTCAGACCTCTAAAGTAGGTTGCATAAATTTCTTCTGGACAGGCAAGCACCAAAGTCTGTCTGAAGAAGGCATTCTCTTCTGTTTTTATGAAGATATCTAGAACTTCTTTTTATTTTTCAGTCTCCTGGTTGTATTGTTGTGGTTCTAGTTTCCACAAAGCAAAGTGGACTGCGAGAAAACCTCCATTAGAGTTCTTCAAAACTGATTTAATACACATTTTAGTAGGATTAAAAATGCTATATTTCAAAAGCTCAAAGAAATACTCAGATCTTCTATATATAGTTTGGAATGGTTTCAAGTGTTTCTTTGAGTTTTATGTCTATCTGCATCTTGTTGTTTAGTTTTTATATTAAATGCGCACGCATGTTTTCAACAATTACAGCAGGGTTTTAAGGTTAACTTATTGAGACAATTAGACCTTTTATTGTGCAGTTTCTGATGGTGACTTTGTTGTACTATAAGAAACATACTTACTGTAACTGGACTCATCATTCAGAGACTTAAATCTGCATAATCTACTTTCAGCATACATTTAGGTTATTAATCAGGAAATTACATTTACCTTCTATAGAATTAAAAGTGACGACAACAGTGTGAAGAATGCAGCCTACACTTGTTTACAGTTACACCATCTGAATGTGTGCATCCACTCGCACCTTCTAGGTGAAAGTGTGAGCATAAGTTTCACACATCCATGCACAGGCATTTATGTTTGTGGATGTTATTTGCATAATCCATACAGAAATAGAAGCAAGTCTCAGTTTGACAGGAAGAACAGATGCCGATAAAAATCACAGCTTTTGATCAAATAAGCATTAAAGCAATGCCCCATTTAGAGTGGAAAAAAAAATCAGAAATTCTCTTTGACCTTGCATTTCTGAGTAAAACTAAATATACTGAATTAATGTATGAACCACTTGTTTTATAACAATAGCAAAATCTTAATTTGTATACAACCCTCTATAGTGATGGTTTCATCACACAAAGAAATCTGCTTAAATGAATACCTAATCCCTGACTTTCACTTTCTGGATACGCTAGGCATTAGCCACTGACTCAGTATGGTGTCTCTTTCACATTTCAGACAAAACTGAAGAAAACCTTATGTTTTTATTCCCGGGGCAGGGATTTTTGGTTTTTCTGTAATCTTCAGAGATGAGATATACCTCCTCCCTGTAATGTCTGTCTGTTTATGGTGTCTCTGTGGGAACAGAAGCTAACATTATGAACATCCACAAAAATATTTTTCAGGATCCTTTTAACATCTGTGCTGTGAGGCATATCTTTAATTACAGTCAAAAACAACAAAGGTGGAACATTCAGATTTGGGAACTCGCTGCTTTTCTTTGGTCTTAATTATCTGACAGATTAGGCCACTGTGTGCACCAGCAGATGTGTATTGTTTTCCCACAAGTGCATTTGTTAAGGTGGAGTCTGGCTAATGAATGTGTTGTCACACTATAATTAATACTGCTTTACTGTCATTGTTGATAGTGTGGCTGCATGTACTGTACTAAGTAATTTTGGTGTGAACAATTGTTTTTCTTGTGATTGTCAGGGAATTTGCACGTTGGAAGGTGAGGAACACAGCGATTGAGAGAAGGGACCTGATCCGGAACCCCGTCCCACTCATGCCTGAGTTCCAGCGCAGCGTGCGCCTGCTGGGCCGCAGACCCACCAGTCAGCAGTTTATTGACACCATCATTAAGAAATATGGAACCCACATTCTGATTTCAGCTACACTGGGAGGTAAGAGAGGTTCACTGGTTTAATTTGCTTGATGAACAGTTATTTACAAACTTTTAAATGCTTTTGGTTTGTGGTTTACTTAGAGGCTTCCTGTCAGTGGAATCACATTATGGGCTATGTGGGGGAGGATACATTTGCTATGCTGCGAATAAGATGAGTAGTATCTAAAGTGGTACTATAGATACTGAACTGCTAATTGTGGATATGGATATTTGATGGAAATTTATTACATGAATGCAAAAAAAGTTTGATTTATCATTTAATTAATAATAATCAAGCCCAGATTTTAATACAACAAACTATAAAACAAGACAGATCTTTCTCAAGAAGTTAATCAGTACATAGGTATCTGTTTATCTGTACAAACAAATGACAATTCACTGATCACATATGATTCTACTGCAAACCTGCAACACAAAGCTGCGCTGGATTAGTCATCTGCTCATTTGCAACACTTTCAAAACAGCTCAGTGAAGCAATCGTTCCCCAAGGTGTTGAAAAACTCCCACAGCAAAACTGCCGCTGCAACACAAGAGGGCAACAATAGATATACTTTGCCCAATGATTGGGGCAAAAACGCCTTTGAGTGAAAATAACCAAAAGTGAAGTTAAATGATGGTAAGCTTCATTTTGCTTTGAGGAACATAGGTTTAAGGAAAAATGAAAAAAGGCAAGATTCTGTACTTAAAATGTGTCAAGCCAGAGTCCACCACATAACATCCAGGTGATAAGGCAGCTTAGCCAACTAATCCACGTACTGTACAGTATAAACATTACATTAATCACAGGTCTTTATGACACTTCAGCTGACCTCTTGATCAGAATAGCTATTTCAATGTGCCAATAAACATCACCTGGTAACAGTAAAGAGTGGCATATGACTGGTCACAGTGATTTCTAAAACTACACAATATGTTTTTATCCTATGATAGATATATAGACCAAATGTGATAACAATATGCTGTTTTTAGGAGACTTGGAGAGTAACTCATCCTCTCAATCCCTGAATGCACAAGGATCTTACAACACACCTACAATTTAATTCACAACACCCCAGGACTGTTATAGTCATACATATGATAATTACATTTTTTCTTTACATAACCTGGAGATAATCTTCTTTCTACATGAAGTACTTGCACTTAAGGGCCTTTCAGGTAAACGGGGAGGAGGGTTATTGAATGTATTGCTCTGATTTATCTACAAGCACTGCCTAATTAAAAAAACAGCAACATAATCACATCACATTTCAGATAGCTATATTAGAGCACAAACACATTTGAAAACTACTGTAGCATGTACAGAAATGTGTATCAACATAGTGCAGCATTGCTGAATTTGTATGAAGCCTGTTTTCAAGGCACTCATTTTTGGCAGTAATAAACCACTACAAAAATCCCTGATTGTAGGCAAAAATATTTTTGTAAAGTCATATTAAATTCCCAGTTACAAATCACTCACTGTGGAAACCGGAATAAATGTCTCTAATGGATGATTTCAGCATTTTGGATGTGCTTCCCCCCCAAAAAAAACACCCCTGCTGTTCAAGTCTAAATATAAATGGCTTTCTTCCTTGAATCTCTTATCTTATCTCCAGATCTAAGGGATACATGCAGGCAGCCAACTGTGATTACTTTGCCAATTGCATTTTAAAGATATAATTAGTGAGATAATTCACTCTTATAAAACCCTGTATTAAATAATTGTATGCATGAAACATTGCCAAGTAGTTGATCCAGTTGTGTAAAATTATGTTTGTAGGTTTGTAATCTCACCATCAAAAGCCTTTGAGAAATATTCATAACACTGCACAGCCAGGCTCGGAGCTTCACACACGCTAAGGTGGTGTAATTTAGGTTTACTTCTTTCAACATTTATCAATCAAAAGTTTTTACGGTTAATCAGGTAGATTGAAGAGATTATGATCAATTTTTCTGACATTTATTAACTCAGCTATATTCTGTGGAGGTCTTTTGTACCGGTGTGCCAGTTTGTGTTGGCTAACCATTTTATCCAATAATTACAAAATCAATTAAGCCATTTTTTGTATTGTTCAGCTAAAAAAAAAGTAGGGAAAAGTCTGTGTGATCAGCGGTGTAGGGAGTGGGTGAGTCAAAATGTGCTGCATGGGTGTTATATTGTGCTGTAACAAAACTAAAGGAAAAACACAAAAAAACAACACACCATGGTGTCTATAAAAACGAAAGTGTCCAAGAGCGCCAGCTGGCCTGAACTTAAAAAGGCACGGGCCCAGATGTATCCCATGATGTTGCTGTGAACTGGAGACCCACCCCTGCAGCCAGAACACAGCACACAACAACAGCAAACAGGCAGCCAGGGGTCTTCACAATGTGTTTGTGTTCTGATAGACAGAGAGAGAGATAGGGAGATAGACACTCACTATTGATTCAGAGGGAAATCCAAGACATCCGGCATCTTACAAACAATAGAAACAATAATCCAACATTATACAAAGCACTATAATTAGGAGCAAAACCAAGGACAGTTAATTGATGCACCAAAAAGCCCTCCAAAATCTAATAGCATGCAACAACTCATTAATGCAATGAGATAACAAGTAAGGTGGCTCAAAACAGCAATGGCAAACTATCTACAAACTCCATCAATCACTTGTAATGTGGCGAGTGGGTGAAAATATTGTTTGACAATGCAGTGTGAGAAATCTGGGGCCGTATTGTTATTGTGCTGTTGTTTTTGGTCTGGGTGTGGTGTCACACCTGACATCAGTTTGTTGCCAAACTTGCCATACCAACAACATGTCATTGGTGTGGTGTGCCAGCTTGGCCTGAATAAAAATAATTTTCTGGAGCATCAAATCAGTGTGTGGGCTATAATCTTTTTACTCTACTAAAATTTAATATGCTTAAATTGGACAATAGCTGAAAAATAATGATCCCAGAAATAATCAGAGTATCAGCTTCAACCATGTCCTCCTTTATATTTCTAAATTTCTATTACATTTTTTTTTTTACCTCTTGCACTTCTTTTCTATTAGTGCTATACTATCTTTAACCTTGAGGCAATTTTGTTTCAAGTTCTTGGTCAGTGCACACTTATCTCAATCTTGGCATTGACCATTAAAGTACACAGTTATATGAACAAATAAATGTTCAGACCATGGTAGTGATGGAGCCAAAAGGAAGCTAATTTCCTCTTTAGCCACCTACTCTTTTTGGTCTCAAGAGTCATTATACACTTAAGAGGAACAAAGTGAATTCTCCTTCTCCCAGGTAACAAAATTGAGTGGTCAAGTGTAAAGAGCCCCATTAAAAAGCTCCCTCCTCTGAAATGAATAGAAATGGTTACAGTACATAACAATTGTTATGTCTCTTGTTTTTCTGCTACAGGTTGTGTAAGGCTAGCAAATGCACATTATCGTGGTGATGTAGCAGCATCTGATCAACATAAACACTATCCTACTTTTTGTTTTATTGATATGGTAGTGAAGTTACAAATGCTATGTGTCACATGTATATTTAATTCCACAAAATTACCATACATTAAGAGTAAACAATTTAATTTGACTGTAATCCAAAATAACATGTATCATCCTGTATGATCACTTTAATTTCACTTTCACTTTATGTTTACTGGCCATGGTAGGCAGATTTTGTTTTCAGTACAGACTAGAAAAAAAGAACGCTCTGTACATAGTGTCAGCTGAACAACACATTGACATATAATGCAATATAGCAAGCACAGTTTTCCTAGACAATAAAGCAAAATCTAATACATTGTAGGATGCAGGAATGAGAGGCTGAATTTCAGTGTCTTTATTGCAGTAGAGTTAAAAAAATACCAGCAAGAGGTCAAAGAGGGCAAAGGTTGGTACATGTAATGAGCAGTGTGGGATGAGTCAGATATGATTTATTGTTTTTTAGATCTTAGTGGTCAGGCTGCCATACTAGACCGTCACAGATGAGGTGAGGATCGGTTCTGTGATATCTGTAATAAATTGCATGAGGATTCCTTTTTCACTTTGAATATCTTTGGCTGAGGAAAACCAATGCTAGGCTTTTTAAATGAGCCGGTCTGAGTTGTCATTCCATTTACTGTACATGCACATGTGGTCTTTACAGTACGCGTGCATGCAAAGTAAGTAGTCTGTAATGGTTATGGGTTCACCTTAGATGTGTATGAAAGATTTGTTTGGAGCCTTGTGCTGGAAATCAATGACCATTTCAGGAGTTTTTCATTGTGTTTAGCAGGACATTGTTGTTGTGGCTCCCTGCTTCCTGTAACTTACAGTTTGTTGATTTTGGATATGAAGCCTATTACAGTTAAGTCATCCGCGTACTTTGGGATAGTTACTGAACTGATAAAAGACTGAAAAAAGCTATGCCACTGAAACCCTATAGGCCGCTTCCTACATGCTGTAATATATTGAGTGCATGTGCATACTACCTTGATGAACTTGTAGACACTGCAACGTCAAACATCTGTTTTGTCTGTTTGTATTTGATTTTCTTCAGCCTGTGTTCTGATACCTGCTGATAGGTACTGACCCAGAGTACAGCAAGATAATGAGTCATAAAACTCCACTGTGGTTGTTACACTTTAAAAGATTAATAGAGTTAAAGGATGTCTATGCAGCTGAGCATGACCATATCTGATTTCATTATAAATAACTAGAATTATAGTAATAAAAAAACAATGACACCAGTTTTAACTTGAGGAAAAACTGTGGAAAACTAGTACTGTAGTAACATCAGGGTAAGCTCCACTCTAACAAGCATTTAAGGGACAAAAACTGCCAGTTACTTTCTCTTAACATCACTGACAGCATCCAGTGAAGACATTTGGGAGAATAATTACCAATTACCTGCTGCTTTTCTCCTGTCTGAATGTTTTAAGTACCTTGTACCACATGAAGCCGAGTTTCTGGCGTATGTGAATGTTTAAAGCACGGCACAAAGGGATGTGGATTTTGAAGTTCAGCATATGACCTGACTGCATACTGGATGCACACTACGCGTGGGAGACTTGAAGCTTTAAAAGAGCAAATACATTTCAGATTTCCAAACAAAAGATGCCACCACTGTGAATCCATGCTTCAGAATTTTACTGTAGCTGGAGCTGAAAAATGCATCAACACAGTTTGACATAGATGCTTAACACCTCTGAATAGCCTGCAGCAATTGAAAACAATGCAGTAGATGCAGTAAACAAATCTAACCCTTTCTACTGTATGTGCTCAAGGTTTTATAATGGTGAAGGAGTAACTGCACAGTCACAACTGTATATAAATGCCAAAGGAAGTTATTTTATTTGGACTTCTGAGAAAATTATGTGAAGGACAGATTTATATTTTGCTAAATCTGTGAGGAGAATATTGCACCACAGTTGTCATTTTCATTGCCTGAGATGTTTAAGGATTATAATATAGTTCAGTATTTGCTTCCTTATTTTTCACTACTTATACAGGTCAGCCGTTGTGACCTGGAACTTGTAACCTTCACACCTTTAATCATTTCACCCAATACTGCAATTAAAACATAACCATGAAATGGAAATTAAAGTAAAAATGTAAATGAAAATGAGACTGAACAAGCTGGTTCTTTCCCTCATGTTCCATAACACACAATTGTCTGTACTGTTGGACACACAGCTTCAATGCAAACACATCATTTCATCTTTAATAGATTTCTCATCAGCTCTTAAAATCTGTTTTCCACTTCTGGAGCGAGCACTGTTGTTTCACCATGAATTCTGCTGGTGTTTGTGCAGAAAGGTCTAGAGCAATTGAATTGAGAGCATGAATGGAAACAATCATGAGAGTGTAGGAGCATGGTCATCATCAGTGTAGCTCATGGTCATCTGCATATTAATTTACAAGAGGACAAAAAGATTCACCTCCAACCAAGTGGCACTGCTGTGACAAATGTGAGATAATGGTGAATGATAATTTGACATTGCTAATACTTAACAGTAAGAAGGAAGTAAAGAGTCATCTGGTAGTTACACAGCAATATCAACCTAAATTTGTCATAACATTAACCATCATAAGCCACTGGTCCCAAGGCATACTGTAAGTGAAACTGGGAAGATGGCACCAATTTTATTTTTTCTCAAAATTTTCTCACTTTAAGATCAGTAGGACCTGTTGAACAGATACAAGTTTAAGCTGATGACTGTTGCATCAGTGAGCTTCAGATGTAGGAGGGACTGTATCTTAGCTAAAAAGACTCATTTACCCTCCTACTCTCTAGTGAATACATAGCTTATGACTGGATCAGAGACCTTTTCGGAGCAGCAGTCTTAAACATTCAGCACTGAAGAGAAAGAAGCATCGTTCTAAACTGACGGGTGGTCACTGAAGCCTGAGGTTAGAGTTCATATGAAGAACACTGGCTATGCCCTGACTAGTGTGGAAGACTACCCAGCAAACGCTGTCAGCACTTTTACCATTTGCCAGCTCACTTGAAACTTTTTGTAGTTGCTGTTGTTCTTCTGCCAACCTTCAAAAATGAATAAAAAAACCTGAATAGCTGGAGACTGTGGCTATCTCAAAGCAGCAACACACCATTCACTTGCATAAAGCATGGAAATCTAGTTATAGTTGAAAATTGGTTGTATTCATTCTTCTGCTTTGTTGAATATATGTATAAAGTTATATATTTGATTTCAAAAAGAACTATCCACCTGTTTTCAAGGAGAAATTGTTTATTTATGATACTTGGTGTGTGGTTTTTTGATAAGCAGAAGAAAACAAAGTCTGTAGTATCCATACATACCGGTAGTTGGGTTCTACTCTTCTCTGCAGTGTGTTGTGCTAACTTTAGCATGGGTCATTATTACTTTTGCCATAGGATATGCATGCATTTACTGCAATTTCAGAATAATAATAGGTTTTTATTACTGGGGGTCACTGCCCAATTTTCTCAAAGACAACAGCTTTAATGCATAAAGGAATGAATGCAGGACAAGTTGTAGTTATTTTGACTGTAGCTGTGCATTTATCATGTGATTATATATGGTTTGTGAAAGTCTTCTGAAACAAAACAACAACACTAGCAATCAACAAAATGACAACAACATCCATTAGCATCTTTCCTCTGCACAACAACAGTAAAAGCAATATAGTTTGATGTTCTCTATAAAGCGACCCACATATGTACCATTAACACCAAATGGGGCACTCTTAGCCATTCCATTACTTTAATGTGAACATTCATGCATACACACACAATAATGTTCATACACACACACACATACAAATTCACCAATGCATCACTTAAGGCCACACACTCACTGCAGTATAGTAGATTCCCTTGCACACTTACTGATTTTGAGGTGAAACAGTGCTGTACCTCTCAGTTGTAAACACATGCACTCTGCATGAGTTGATTAATTCTGGCAGAGTGCCAGAGAGGTGCCCTATAATAATGTACCACAATGTATTACTTACAGGAAGGTGCACACAAATGATTTTTAAAGCTGCAGAGGTAATGATTTTGCCTGGCCAGCAGCAATAGCTAGAAAATATTTATGTACAGTAGACCTCTTTTATGCCACACTAAGTTGCAAAAGAAATAAAAAAGGGCACATGGACGGCTTAATGTGGCACCATTATCCTTGTGCAGCAGTGTAAGTCAAATGTGTGTAAGTAACTTCGCTAACCCCTGAGGGAGTGAGCGTATGGCAGCATCAGAGAATGGGCCCTCGTCCCCTCAGTGCTTGTACTCTAACCAGGCATGAGACATTGGTCCTGACTCCTTCCAACCCCTAGTCATGGTCACCACAAGTTAAGTGACCAATTCCAATGCACTGCTTAAGGCCAAATAACCATTCACAAATACTGTATGTGACATTCTCTAAAACGAGATCCAGGCATGTGGTTTGCCATTTGAACAATATCTCTGAAGGCAAGTTTGCATGAGTTTGTGGAAATGAATTGGTGTTTGTTTTTTCAGTTCTTTCAAATTTTAATTCTGGGCAAAGGACTGTTTATGGGGAGAGGTTAGAAATGGGTTGATTTCTGTGTGTGTGTGTGTGTGTGTGTGTGTGTGTGTGCACACGCGAGCATAATCAGTTTTATATTCACAGTAGTTGTGACCTTATCACAGAGGCTGATGATTTGATCTTGATGATTTTAAATTCACATCACATAGGAACTGGCAACTCTGCCAGTTTGCCTCAGCAAAAGAATATGGATTTTAGCTTGACCTAAGTCTGTCAGCCTGACAGCTCAGAAACACCACCACCACCACTAACTAGATGTGCTACTAAAATCCCAACCAAATTCTTAAAATCAAATTAGAAACATCTCAATTCTCTTCACATCTGTAAACTTATTGCATGCAGACTGCTTGATTTATGAGACAACTTGCTATGTAAGGTATTTTACTGTGGTTTAAATGCATCTTTGGTAAGAACAGAGAGAAAAAATAACTTTTCTGTGTAAAGTAAGAAAAGAGGAAAAAAACCAAATGAAAAAACGGTAATTTAACACTTCCTAGAGCAGTGCCTGTTATCACTAGACAGGGTCAGCAAATTGATTCTGCCATGCACATGGGTAATTTTAGTCAGTCTTCCAGATTAAAATAAATACATAAATAATATCAGTGGAGCTGTTGTAACCCAGGAACATGCCACACATATAAACAGGTATTATCGTCCTAACGTGGCTCCACATGGTTGTAATGCCAGCTGCTGCAGCTCCTGTATTTTTCCCTATTTTTTTATTTTCTTGACACTAATTAAATCTCTGCAATCAGTAATGTTATTTTTTATTTGCGTGTTTATATTCTATTTGTTTTTCCCTGCTTGGGGTAGCTAAAAAAAAACAAAAAATAAAGATAACAAACGTGATAAATGTATTCTCACAGGACCAAATTCATGTGGCATTGAGGTAAAAATTCTACATCACTAGACCTCTCACAGAAATAATAGGGGAAAATCCAAGGACATTTCTGGGGATGGTGCCAGCAGGGGATATAGCAGCAAATATGGTGACTGTTCCTGGAAAACTAGGGCATCCAGTTTCTCAAGCTAAAACTGCTCGCTTTGGTATTCAGACCTCTGACTTATTTCTTGTGTTTAGGGCTCTACTGGTAGCTGATGTAAGCCTGAAACAGACAACTTTCACAAATTAAGATATCTACAGTGCATGCACATTATTTATTCAGTGCATCTTAATGACAACCATGTCACTAATCATGTAGGGTGTAATTCTAACCATACAGTATTTCTATCCTTGTGCAACTTATAGGGGAGGAGGCACTGACTATGTACCTGGCCAAAAACAAGCTGGACAGGAAGCTTGCCAATGCTACTCAGAACGTGGAAGCCCTTCATCAGCTGGCCTCGTCATACTTCATTGACCGTGACGGCACGATGAGGAAGTTGCATGAGATCCAGATTTCCACCAATGCCATCAAGGTTGGTGAATATTGAACTTGCACTTGGTATACAAATGCATGTTTTTTCATTGTGCAACAAAAAATGGATGTACTACCTGAGCCATAATATTACAGTCAGTAAACAGTACAGTCAGTAAATTTTATACATGCACCTGACAACTTGAACTTTTTTATACCCAAACATCCTTCTTAAAATGTTTTGCTACAAAACTGTGCTAATGAGGGGGAAAAAACCAAAACAACAACAACAAAATGATTATTAGAAGGTGTTTACTGTCACAGAAATGTAAATATGATGTACCATACGCCTACACAAACCATATGTTTTGACAGTCAGGTAAACAGTTATCTTCTGTTTTCTCCTGAGACAATGTACTGTATAATGCAAATATGTAATGCTGAAAAAAAGAAATACAAACTTTATCTCTGAATTTATATCAGCATACCGTAAACTGTAAAGTAGCATTAATCAAATAAGTTAAGACATTAAATGGCTGACACACATATAAAAAAAGCTGAAAATTTGTGAGCAGTGTTATATCCATTCACCGGCTCATTCAACTGGGACACTGAGGAGAGGGGGCTAGGGAAAGCAATTGTAAAATATAAACATCCAGCAAAGCCAAATAGGCTGGAATTTTAGAAAAGCCCTTGCTTGTAATCATGGTTCAGCAATTAGTCCAAGCATTCACTCTTGTTTCATTTGGGAGGAGGGTGGTAGTATCAGCTTGGATTGGATGAAATATACAGAAATAAATCTGTACACTAACAAAACACAAAATGACTCCTTCTCAATTGGTTATCATTATTATTATTATTACAGTCATAATGATGAAAATGCACTGAACAAGAAGGGTTGATGTTCTCCATCCTTCAGAGAAATGTCTGCAAACTGTTTATGATCGGTTTATCAAATAGCATGTCGACACACAAATCAACGTATTGCTGTCAGATGATTATTACACTCGGCCTTATAAATGTAACGGCAAAAATTTAATTAGCATTTTCACAGTTTTGTTCTCTCTTTTTTTTTTCAGTTTCTCAGCCATATGGAGTAATCTATCAAATGCTTTCTAAAATGAAAATGGTTAAGGCAGCTTTATTGCTAGACAAACACAGCATTAAAAAGAAGCACGGCCACAACAAATCAGGTCCCAAATGGTGAATCAGTCTGGCAGTGATAAGCATTATGATTCTATGTGTATACCTGTATAACAAATAAATAATGATGCTCGGGGACCCGGGGCAACATTACTTGTCTGCTATGACCTTGCTTATATGCATCTAGTTTGCATGGCAAACCGTGCCACAACTAAAAATGGAAAGCTGGTGTGAACCTAAGTGTGCAGCACTGCTTCTGGGATGTTTTGCTATGTGAGGACTTTATTAATATGTTTGCAGTTCAGCAGCAAGAACCACTTGCTTCCACTATGTGCCCAATATAGTTGTGGCAACCCAGATAACCCAAGACAACTGCATGCTGATTTACTGACTGTGAAATGCATCAGTGTCTTTTAATATTATATTTAAATGAATCATTAAGTAAATGTAACAAATATATCACAACAAGCACATAGAAACAAACATTTATAGCTGGATTGTGGCTAATACAACACCATAGACTTCATGGGAATGATACCCTTCTCTCTTTAACATTTGACCACACAACTGTGTGTTGGTTTGCATATCAAGCTAACTACAATAAGACTGGGCTATGGACACAAGAGAGCTTCACTGTACCATACATTCAAACTGTACAGAATTGAGAATTAGACAATAAGACAATTGTACAAGCCATTGAAGCTGTTAATTTTGTTTTATAAAAAAAAAACTAATTAAACTCTCAATACAAAAACCTTTATGTTTATATAAAAACAGACTAAAAACCTGAGCCAACAAAGATGCAGGTGGAATTGTGTTATGTGCCGCAGTCAGATTTTACCTTTACTGAGCGAGTTAGTAGGTGTTAATTTCAAGCACTGGTGATCATAATTATTTAGACTTCTCTGGTTTTCTATGGCTCTGCAATCACACAATCAACACAATTCTTAGCAGAAAGCAGATTTTGAATGTGAATGTCATACGATCATGCAGACTTTCATCCTGCAATAGTGCATTGCCTCCTGTTAATATCAATAAAGACCGCCTCATCTGAAATCGTACTTCATCATAAAAGATCTTGAGATGCCAGGTGTGGGTTCCTAGACCAGAATTTGTGAACCACTGTCTTATGAGATGAGTCCCACTCCTACAGCCACAAAATCACAATTGAGATTTGTACATCACCAGGGGTATGGATATAATTAATCAACTTATTTCCAGCTTTCTTAAAGTAACACTGATTTTAAAAGTTTTACATTGGTTCATCTATGATCTGAGTAATGGTTTGATGTGGTTAAATGTGAATGTCACTTTCGGCTTTTTCCCATTAGGGGTCACCATAGCGAATCGTCACTGACAATTGGTACGTGTTTTACGCTGGATACCCTTCCTGACGCAACCCTGACTCAAACCTGGGCCGCAGTGGCAAAAGCACTGCACCCTAAGCACTAGAGTCTCAGGGAACAAGATGTGGTTAAATGTGGTGTGGTTAAAAAGTTTAACTGAGATGGTGCAGAAAGACATGTGTTTTAACACTGTGCATTACCTGCATCAGCATCAAAAATAAAACTTTCTTATGAATATGGAAATTATAATGTCTTGTCTGAGACACAGATTAATGGGTTATATGAAAATATTTTATTGAATACTGCTTGTAGGCTTTTATTTTTAGATTTATTTCCCACAGCCATGCAGAAGCAACAGAGATACAGTATGTATCTATATCCAAACCAAACATAATGCATAAATAGCTTATTTAAGCTTATTTAAATCATGCCCAGTCAGCACCAAACCTTTGCCACACAAAAGTCTGTGCAGATTAATCTTTCTGAAAACTTATGCCAGTTCCTTTTCTATATCTTCATCCTAAGCTACAAGGGTGCAGCAAGTATAGATGGATGTTACTGTAAAAAAACAGAACCACTGCTTAAGTGGTTTGGCTAAATTTGATAGTGATAGAAAGAGAAATGACTTACTGTGATTGTAGCTAGCATAGTTGTTAAAAAGTATGATAAAATGCAAGATGAGGTGATCACCCTTTTGCACACAGTGTGCATGGATGCTTTAAAAAAAAAGCAAGAATACCTTGAATAGAGTTGGTCTTGACATTGTGCAGTTAATTTAGGGTGTTTAAATGACCTAAATCACATATTACATCAAGTCAAGAATTTTATTTGCCATTTATGCATAAACAGACAGTCTAGGCATTTTGGGATTCTTGTGCAGCTCTCCTTTGGGGTCAGGTAAGGAGTCAAAAGCCAGAAAGAACACTTAGTCTTAAAATAAAATAAAAAAAGTTACATAAAGGCAACAAAGCATTAAAAGAGCAATACACAATAATAGGTTAATAGTATTTTCCCCAGTGAACTTCAAACATTGCACTTAGTAATTCACTTGGTTGAGTTGGGTATGTCATTACGCTTGGTGAGATAGTGAGGGGTTATAACATATTAAAACACAGTTTATATTCAGACCTGTTTCTATTACTTGGTAGAGAATGTCCTGCTATTACTCAGGTCCCACAAAAGAACATTGTTGATGAGATGCTCTTATAAAAATACCTTGTGGAACATTTCTATATTATTATTGTGCATGTCTAGTGAGGGGTTATTGCACATATATTCTCACATTTCTCACATGTTCGTATTTGCCATCAGTCTTACTGTGGCA